TGGAGACTGCATGAAATTTCTGGAAGCTTTAAATTTCACAGCTTTAAAAGGCAAACCAAAATATGTTTTTCTTAGAGTCAAGGAGAAAAGGGACTCTCATTAAAGCAAAATAAAATTCTATTTTAGGCAATTTCAGTAAGAGAAGAGGCTTTTCTAAGAGAGGAATTTCTCTAGAATCAACTGAAGGTATAAGGGGCTGGAAACCCACAGGAATTCCTGCAGCAATTAGCAGTGTGTTTGGGGGAGCAAAGGGCATGTGGGCTGAATCCCTTTGTTTCCAGAAAGGGATGTGGTTACAGGTGCAGATGAGACATGATATGCTGCTCATATGCCTGGGTATGATTCTGTTTTAGTTGATAGGTGCAGCTTAAGTTCACTGCCCTCAGTGAAGACACTGCTCTGCTCCTTATGCATTCCTAAGGAATGACCACATAGCACAACACTGTGATTGTTTTGAACACATTGACTAAACTTCTCCCTCCCAAGTTTTAACATTTTCTTTGAGATTCACCCTCTCTTCTTCTTTAATTTTTCAAAAGGATTACCTTTCACTTCATCTTCTTTTCAGATCTGGGCAGCTCTGGCTGGGCTAGAGGTTATTCCCCCCTTGACTTTGAGCTCCTGTGCCCGGACGGAACACGCGCCGCAGTCACAGAATGGGCCGGCTGTAACCTGGGCCCTGTGCCCCCCAGCACAGTCATGACCCGACCAGTCACTGTCACTAAAATCTCTGACTTCCTGCTGAAATCTCAGGTGTGACAGGTAACAGGGAACAGCTTGGCATGTTAACATTTGTTATGTTCAACTGCTGAAAACCTTTTCACGATTGAAAGCTTTATATACTAGTGCCTTCAGATCCAATACAAAAGAATTAAAAATGTGCATAGGAGGTTGAGAAAATCGGTATTTGGGTTCTCCTAAGGGGTATTTTGGCACCAGTTCCCAAGTTCCCATTTTACAAAGGCCATACTTTTGCTGAGAAATAAGGCACTGCAGAAGTGCATCTTATTGTACTAATAAGAACAGTGCTAGATAAAAGTGCTATTAATGACCCAAGCTGTGAAACTTTTATTCCTTTTCTGTTCAGGAATCTCTGGGAAGCAAATTGGATTCTGAATTCCAGCTCTTTCAGTCCTGGAAGTATGGTGAAAGTGATCTGCTTTTCAAGGACACCACTCAGTACCTTGTTGATGCAAGTCACCTGAGCTATCAGGAGATCCTTGGAGAGTCTTTTGTTCAGCTGGCAGAATCAGTGTTTAATTGCACACCTGCAGGTAAAGATAAGTTCTTAATTCAGAGTTAGAAAGAATTGCAGCAGGCAGCCTTCTGTGCACAGCTATGGCCCTTTTGTTTAGACAGCATGGAGATGTTCTACCTAATCCTGTTAATAACAAAGGTCTAAGGAGTCCTGTGTTAGACTTCTGTGAGACTAACTTGGTAATTGCAATTCAGAAGGGGAATTTGACCTCTATGCTGCTGTTTTAATGAATAGCATCTGAAGAACCTAGTACTTTTGAAGCTGATAGCATCTCTAAGTGTATCCCTTCTTACTGGTTTGTAGGCATCTTGGACTTCTGCAAACAGGATATCTGTGCATCCTCATCCAACTGACAGCTCATACAGAGGCTTTGCAGAGCACAAAACATCAGCATCACTGCTGAGAACAAGGGAAATGTGCAAGTCCAGCCAATCCAAAGCAATCAGCAAGGAAACAGTCATCTCCTGAAATGTATGCTGAACACCTCCTTGTCTTTTTTTTTTCAGCAGATTTTAAGTTTATGATGATGTAATACTACTCATATATTATCCCTTTCTTTTTTGGAGCATGGCAGCATGGGGAGCAGCACAACCAACAGCACAGAACTAGGATCAGCATTGTGGAAAGAGCAGGGCCAGTACCATGGACTAAAATACAGACTTGGTAGGAGTGACACAGGTTAGTTGGTAGCATTTTGCTTTGTTTGTCTTATAAACAGTTTCCATGCAAAAACCCCAATCAGCTGACACTTAGGTAGTTGCAACATTGTCTTCCTGTAGCTGTGATTTTGGTTGCAGCTATATAGCCCCTGCTGAATGCACATCTATATTTCTTCTTTAACCAATGATTTTTTACTAGTAAAACAAAACATTTCTTCTCACAAATAAATGTATTAAGACATTTAACATCCAGCAGAACTGGATGCTTGCAGCAATGGATATTCCTCTTTGTCAAGACCTCCAACTATTACTTTGTACTGACCCTTTGGATTTGAGATTCTCTGAAATGTCAAAATACTCTCTATCAAATAAACACTACAGGTTTTACAAGCAGAAACTGCCTGAACATGATATGAAGCCCTTTGAATAGAAATCATCTGTTCATCATCTCTATCCTGTCTTGTCCCAGTGTGGTGACAGAGCCAAATCCTCAGCTGCATTTGCAGCCAGCAAGCTGCAGCCCTGAAGGAGCAGGATGCTGGTTTGGGCCTCTCAGGTGTTCCTGCCTTTCTTTGCTGGAGCTTCCCTGCCATCTGTGGGGCCCGTGTGACACTGCACTTGGGAGAAGGCAGTTCTGAGAACACAGTGAAGAAATGCAGCTGGCAGCCTAGCTTTGCCAAGAGCAGCCTGCAGCTGACCAGGGATAAATTAAAAATCTGGGTTATAGACGAGATTTCATGGGTTGGGAGGGCAGGGATGTTGTGTTCAGGCACAGACATTACCAATGCTTACTGGGCCTGGTGGATGATCCTGTGCTGCAGCTCTGATTCACAAACAGCACCATGCTGCCTTGCACAGCCTGGGGTACATGAACCAGCCTCAGCCTTGAATCCCAGCTCTGAGCTGAGCAGGAGCTGTTTGTGCTTTCTGTGCTCCCTGGCTCCTGCTACTCTGCTTTCTGAAGAGATGGATGCTGCCTCAGTATTCTGAATAGCAGCTGAGATCATGCTTAGTATCTGCCAGGCTGGGAGGAAGGAGCACCAGAACTGCTGCTCTGTGTCTCAATAACAACACTCCCTGTTACCCAACAGTGCTGATCTCTTTGGAGATTTGACCTTTCCCCCCTGCATGTAAGACATTATCATGCATATTTACCCATACAAGCCTAAAGGCCTTAAAAACCTGAAAAGTTCTCAGAAAAATTTATTTCCATAAATTAAAAACACACACAAAAGAAACAGTAAAATTTTAGATTCACACAATATTGAACAGAAACAAAATGCCAAGAGCATGATGGAGGCTAATGGCACAAATGTACAAATTCTCAGTGAGCTATTTGTTAGCATCATACAGACTTGTAATCCACAGTTACTATCCATATTCTAGAAAAGCACCTGGAACATAATATACCAAAGGCCCACCTGAAATAAAATACAATGAATGAGAACTGCTTGCAGGAAATCAGATCCAGCACGCACAGGAACTCAAATGTGTGCAGACACAAGCCAGGCAGGCAAATGCTGTGCATACATTAAGGAGCCTTAGCTGCTCTAGTCATAGCATGATGAAAACAATGAGTTTTTTCTTTTTTTTTTTTTTTTTAAAGTGATCTTTCTATCTCTGACAATCAGCAAATTTAGCAGAGCTGCTTGGCTCTACTAAGAGACAGGACATGACAAAAGCTTTGCAATCCTTCTCAAGCTGTTCTGGCCATCAGTTTGTGATGTACTTTCCATGGTGATAAAAAACATCCCCACTGGAGTGGGTCCACTTAATGAAAAGGCAAGTGTACACATCCTTCTGCTAGAGATGTATGCATGACCCCAAAAGATGAATCCTCTACACTTTTTACTTTTAATTAGCTGTGCCAGAAGCAGCTCAGAGTGGAAATGCCCAGCTTTTACCCAGTCACCACTCCCAGTGTACAAGCAGCAGCCACAAGGAAAAGGGCTGTTCCATGAGTGTTGTAAACAGAAACAGAGGAGGGAAAGGAAAAAACAAAAAAGTGCATAAGCAGGACTGACTCCTGCATGCTGGGGAGGGGAAGAGATGCTTGGTCTCCACTAACTTACATTGTCATACAAACACTAAACTGAAAGAGATTAATGCTGTGTGTTTGGGTTTCCACAAACTAAGGTCTGGGAGAAGCTAAACAACTGCAACATCATTTTGTAACTCCCCCAGTTTCTGTAAACTGAAGAGTATTTGAGTGTTTTCTTTGCTCTGCTCTCTCCACTGTAGTTTGTAGGAAAAAAAAGTTCATGAATCTTATTTCAATGCAATCAGAAACAAGAGAGAACAGGGAAGAAAGTAAAAAAAAACCCACCCTAAACAAAACCCAACATAACCCAAAGGAAAAGACTCAACACATTCCATGTTTTGAAGCACATTAGAGGTCTGAACTTCTGGACCCAAGTCTCTTCCCCCCCACCCCAATCTTTATTTCCTTGAAAGCCCCAGTAATGTTACAGCTTAATTGTGTCACTGGAAGCCTCCCATATTAATAGAAGGTGAATGAATTCTCTGTAACAATCCCATTCTATAGCACAAATCCATAAAAATATATCTCTCACTCTTGCTACCACTTCCAACTAGTCAATAATTGGGCTAATAAGCCAAATAGGAAAACTTTCAAACATTTTTTAGGAGGCAATTGATCTTTGTTTTTTAGGGATTTCTTTTTACAAAAATAAAGAGAATCAATTAGAATGTTCTACAACAGCCCAGTAAGTTAACCAGAAAAATACTATGTCAATATGTTCAAAGTTTGCCTTGTTATTTTACCCTCAAACTCCAAACACTACTATTTTAAGTGTGCACTCCTCTCTTTTCTTCAGTCTTCCTGATTAAAGATAACTAGCCTTCAAAACAAGAATATAAACTTCTACAAATCCCAGCACATAAGCTGGGAGCAAAACAAACCCAGATTAGATTTCTTTCAAGATTCAGGCACACACAGTGTAATAATTCTTTTCCATTTCTCTACTCTCAAAGCTCTGCAATTCAACAGATTGCTTGTTAACATTTAGTTTTCTGTTTGGTCAGTAACAGAAGTGGTAGAGCAACAGAAGATAATGATGGTATTTGCAGTCCTGCATTTATTGGGACTTTATAAAAAATACCCACCCATTAGATATTTGCTCAATTTGAAGGTAAATAGAAACTCTATTATATGGGTAGATAAATAAGAAAGTGCAAGTTCAAGTGACAAGTGAAAGAAAAAACCGACTAATTAAATTTGAGCATCCCAGCAACAACAGCTTTGCCTGAATAACTTCTCTAGGCACTAAAGGACAGAAATTACCTGAACAGCAGCTAGCATTGGATTTATGCTTCAAGTTAAGTTTAACAGAAGTTATGCCAGAAGGGAGCTCTCTTCCTTCCAAAGGTAGAGCTGAGAAATTGCCCAGTGCTGCATCAGATAATTACATATGGCCTTACATAACAAAAGCAATGTCCACATACTCAGAGGCTCTTTGTACAGCACTGGCTATTATGTACAACAGTGCTGTACAGAGAGTGTCTAATTATGAGCTACAGGAACTGTAAATCTAAAATGGTAAAAAAAACCCCAAACCCTTCTTGTTGACATTAAAATCAAGTCAGAATGAATGGAATTAAAATAACTTTAAAATAAGTATCAAAGATTTTGCTGGTCTTCCCTGCATGCAGCAGCTCAGCTCAGTTAAATAAAAATCTCTGCCTATGCATCCTGCAGCTTAACACCCTCATGGACCAATTACCTTTTCCTCTGGAGAAGAAGTTGGCATCAGCCAAGTAAGTTAAAAAGTCTTATATTTGGGAAAAAATAGTACTGGGCACCATTTTTCCTTAAAACATTACCTTTTTTGAATTGAATTGTGTTAAAAGAAGCATATACAAAGTGCAAGTTATTTAATGTCTAATTATGTGGGGCTTCTGCTGCCTGGAGCCAGGAAGGGCAAAGATACTTAGAAGGAACCTTCAAAGTTAACAGAAGGAAGAAACAATTGAATGATAATCTAGACAGCTACTTTTAATTCTCAAAAGGTTAGTGGTTTATCAAGAATGTGTTTGCTAGAATTTTTCTTTATCAAACACCATATCTCTTTTGTCAGCTTGTTAAAAATAGCCATTACAGTAACAACAGCAGACTCAAATGTGCAAATGATCTGGAGTACAGAGTTCTAGCATCACTGAAGGTGCACTACTTCCTCCCTGACACTCCTACTCTACCCCCAAAAGATATATAAACATAATTAATTAAATATAAGCAGTAATTTCCAGAGGTTGAGAAAGGAAGGGTAAATTTCACATGGCTGTGTTACACTCAAATAGGGACTTAAAAGAATCCCTCCAACAGCATTAAAAAAAAAATAGCACCTTAAAGAGGGTCACAGCCAAAAACTGATTATCAGATGTTAGAGCAGTGGCAGAGTAAGGTATGAAGAAGTCAGTAGACTTCTCCCATGAAAAAAATACTAAAGAAGCTGACTGGACCATTCCAGCTAAGGGGCTCCCTCAGATGCTGGAGGCCTGCTCCTGCTCAACCTCCTCTGCAAAAAAGGCTTCAAGGTCCATTAGCTTCTGACTCAGAAGAACATCTAACTCTGCACTCTGCAGTGCAGCTCTTTTTGCTCGGGTGAAGCTCCCCACTGCTTTGACTTTGCCTCGTGTCTTCCTTTTCCGGGGAAGAGTAAAGTCCTGGAACTCCAGAATCCGCTTTCTCTTTTGCTGGCTGACAGAGATCAAGTGTCCATTCTTCTCCTTGGGCTCCTCAAAGATTGTTTCCAAGCTCCTGTAAAAAAAAAGGAACAAAAATCATGAAAACCTTAGCAGCAGCCACCTTACTGACAGGGGACTGGGGGATTTCATAACCCAGGTAAACACACTTCTAACTTTTATATTTTATATTTACAGCCCCTCCCCACCTCTTGTAATGTTATCTATACCTTACACCTCCTACAATGCACATCACTGCCAGCTGAGTTATTGCTGCACAGACATTTGGGTAGAATCTCTTTGTATTTCAGTTCTAAAGCACAATTACAGAATCTTAATTTTACAGAATAAATAAGTTTGAACATTTGATGACAGGCTGTTATTGTTAGTATTTTAAAGAACATGTAATTCCCTTTGAATTTTGGAAAGTAAGTACTGTACTTTGATGGAGACTGGAATGAATGGATAAGTGAAAAAAAAAATACAAATCCATACTTAACCAGCTGCAAATTCTTAGTTCATATTCGATTTCACTTTTAAAAATCCAAACAGTAAAAGGTATTATTTTTAAATGAACTTTCTCTAGCAGTTTAAACTAGACCAATTTTAAGAATATATCTCCCTTTCATTTTTCATACACCTTTCATCTCCCCCCGCCCCCTAATAATTTACATTTAGGAAGGAGAACCAACCTGGCAGGAGGAGGCGACTTGTAGTTCTTGTTTGTGTAAATTTCTTCTAAACTAAATTCTTTCTTCTTAAGCCTGAAAAAGTAATGACAAATCAATCTAGAAGGAAGAATCTCAACAATCTCTCTTCACAGCAAGCAGATTTACAAGAAACAAGTACTGTTTGCATTCTGTGCCTAAATTAAATGCTAACTAATTATGCTTTAACTAACTGGGGACCAGGAGGAATGAAAAATGAGCTCATTAAGTACATAATTTCATAGTGTTTATAAGGTTGGTATCAAGACTTGCCCTTTCTGCAGAGATCAATATTCCTTCCAGCATTCTGTGATGCTTTGAAATAATGATGCTCAAAAGGGGGAAATGCCCTTCACCTTTTTGTGAAAGCTGAGAAGAAGTCTTACAGTTTAACAGATTAATACTTCATCTCTTGAGACTGATTTTAGTTATTGACAGTTACCAAGCTGATCTCTGAAGAAATGCATCCTTTTGTCAAAGGTGGTGCCTGTGTTTAGGACAGAAGTCACACTAGATGAAATATGACTAACCTGACCTGTATGACTAGCAGGCACACTAAATGACTGATTGGAAAACTTTATCAACATCTGGCTCTGTGATTCCCCACACTTTCACTGAACTAATGCTTCCCTAAGATCATACCCTAAACAAAGAAACTGAAAAACTCCAACACAATTTGCATCAACAGTACTTCCTAACAGATCACTTCATCTCACTGTGCACTGCAGGTTTTTTCATTTTCACTTTATCAATAAAAACTCCTTTCTTCTTTAGAAAAATGATTGCATTGCAGCTTGCTTTTTCACATTTTGCCTAAACGCCAGTCAGCAGTTTTGATCCAGTTGATAGAGCTGTGTCAATCATTTCTTGTAAAGGAAATAAACATCAGATGTCACTCAACTGGGGCTGTATAAAATAGTGGTGGTAAGAGAAGCATTTATTGAAATGATTACACTCAAATGCTTTGAGTCCATTTCAGAGGCACTGCTCACCTTTTTGGTTTGGGCAGTCCCATTGGAGTAAGGTTAGGGTCTGGCTTAGGAACAGTTTTCCTGATTCGGATCTGTGAGACTTTCTTTGGCCTCTTTTCTGGCTCAGTCTTAAGAAAGAAAGATGGAAAAGTTAAAAACAAAGAAATTAAAACCATACTAGTCAACATAATTCTCTTTTATTCTGAATATACATTATCTATAGAATAAACATTCCTCTCTGGTTTGCCACCTTGTTTCTGCTTGAATCAAAGCAAGCACAGAGTAGGACCTGCACTCTGTTTTCTCTCCTCATCTTTAACAGTCACTTGATAATATCCAGCAGCAGCTTCAGCTTCTGGAGAACCAAGAGTCTGAGAGGTCTAAAATATAAAATGAACTCACTTTTTTCAGTTCTGTGTCATCTTGGGATCTCAGACAGGCTGGAACAGAAGCATCTGCTTCATCAAGGGCAGGGATGTGGAGCTCAGATGCTGAAAGCCTGGGGGGAGATGGCAATGGCTCTGGAAGTGTGTGAGGCTTTGGGGATGGAGGAGGGAATGAAGTTTCCAGACTGTAACAGAGAAAAGGGGAACATGAATGTAGATTGATACCCAAGTGATAATGCAACAGCATTCCATGCTCTCAGGAGATGTTCCTAAATTGCAATTTGGGCACAAAAAACCAACACATTTCACAGAAATGGCCCAAGTGAATGAAGTCTGGCACACACACATACAGCCCAAACCTGCTGCATCCCACATTGATACTGACACCACCTAAACTGCCAGAGTATTTGAACATGTCATTTAAAACCCACTCTCTTCATTTGCATACAGCTAAACAGTATACAGCTCTATGTATGAGCTGACAGAGAGGGATCAATCCTCCTTTTCTGCCAGCAAATTTCTTTGACACAACTATTAATCACACTTCTTGTTTACAGATAAAATATAGCTGTGATACCTGCCATCCCTGCACTTAGAAGGAATAGAAGGAAGTTTCAGCACCTATCATCCAGTTGCTAAGGCAGAAAGGACTTCTATCCAAGTAAGGAGTCAAACTTCATTAGTTTCACATATTCATTTCATAAGAAGTGGCACAACATGGTTGAAAGTAACAGAACTTTCTGTCCAATGTTTTATGTGGTGTTTGCATAACTGCCCCTCCACTCCTCCATTACATCATCCAGTCAGCTTACCTCACCCACTTCCTAATCAGAAAGCTGTTCTGGGAGTGAACTGCCAAAAGCTGAAAGCCAAAATGATATTACAATGGCTTTCTGAGGAAGGTTATGATCCCACTACTCAGAGTAAATACCAACACCCCAGATACTCACTGTGTCACATGGCCTGCAGTCTGCAGTGCTCCCATACTCTGCACAGGTGAGTGTGGTAACATGGCACAGCTGGGTCAAAGAGGAATGAAAAAAAACAAAACAAGACAGAAATTAGGGCTACGCTATAAAAAGATGAAGGAAAAATTATTAGTATAAACTGGATTGTAAGACAAGATGCTCATATCAGGAATGAGAATGAAAGACTAAAATGATACAAAAGAAAGCCACATCTGTTTAGGTAACTAAATTTCATTGTTAGGGAAACTGTCCTGCTTTCATTTAAAAATGGTAGTAATGAGAAAAGGAAATAAAGACACAGAAAGAGAATGAGACAGTAATATTAAAAGTCATAATTATTTAAAGTCTGAAAACTGTCATTCTTTCTATGAAAGTCTATTTTTCTTATTCAAAACTTCAAGTTTTTACAATTTAAGTAACCAAAAACCTTGAAGGACTTGGTTACTAAAGAAAATTGTGCATAATGGCAACAGCAACAGGTAAAAGGAAGTACTTCCATTAAATTAATTCCCTGTTGTCTCTAACTCCCACAGTACCCTTACTTGATTGGAATAACCAAAGGCCTTTCCATAAGGGTTGGTAATTATCAGAATTCTATGGCATAAAAGTCAGCACAGCAGCTCTAAGTCCTTTGATATTAAGCTTTACTTTTGTGTCCAAATTGTTAAGAGCAGGAAATCACTCAGGACAGCTTTTATTACATTCAACAGCAAATCTTGTATTTGCTGACTGGAGTTCTACAAAGGAAATGAAAACCAGCCTTGCTGGAAGCACAGGGAAGTCCAACTACACATAAAGAGGTCAGAAAAACCCAGTTATTGTGTTCATCACTTATGTCAGAACTGTAACATTTTGTTTCAACATTCCACTCATCATTCCAGTGTTACTGGAACCTGTATCCAGAGTGCAGCAGAGCCCTCTCTGTCAGAGACAGAGCTTATTGTTTTATGCAATAATAATACAAAATTATAAGCACAGAAGGAAATCAATTTAGAAATTTTTAATTCAAATAAGCATTAATTAGAAAAAAACTTCAGTGAAAGAATGCTTTATTATTGACAGTGGAAGGGACAGTGGAAGTTAGGTAGGGCAACTGCTTTCGTTCCCTGTTCTCCTGGTTATTGAGAACACAAATTGTGAGTGAAATATTTTAAAGAGAACAAATCTTTTCCAGGTGAAAATGGCCTGCAGGGAACTTTTTGATTTTTCTGATTTTGAATTATCTTAAAACAGGCAAGAATTTCTGTCATAGTGGGAACTGAAAAGGCTTTTACACTGCACCAAACATACCTCTAATATTTATGTACCAAACAGCTGAGTGGGACAGATTTATGTCTGCCTCATATACATAGCTGTAAGGTATTTTGGAGAAAAAAAAACAAATTGAGTTTTAGGGTATTTTAACTCTGGATTATTTTTCACTTGAAGATGTTTGATTTGAATACTCTCCCTTTGGGAAAAAGATCACCACTCATAGCAAAGCACTTTTCCAATGCCTCCTTACATCAGGAATGAAATCCTCTGACACATTAGCTGACTGGATGTGTTGTCCCGAGCTGCTGAGGAGCCTGCACACTTAGGGATGGGGAAAACCCAAAGTTCTCATCTCCCAGTCCAAGGAGAGCATGCCTCAGCAACACAAAACACTGAATTCACATTATACACACAACTCAGTTTTAAAAAGATGTTTTGTTTTTAACAATGTGTTATTTTTAAGTTTAGTGCTCAAACTGTACTTTACTGGTCTGATCACTTTCAGAGTATGGAATGAAAATGGGAGCAAGTCCCATAGAATGTGCTGCAAAAGTTGTCTCTATGCCATTATTCTACTTAATTCTTTTAGTGCAGACAGCTCCAGAATGGAGCAGTGCTTTCACAAGCTCACTCACACCTTTGGCAGACATTACAATTTATATTAACAAGTGATAAACTTTTATGTATGTTACCCATTTATACAAAGTAAATTGCAGCATTTGTTATCTGGCAAGATTTTTGGTTACACTTGTGTCAATCTGTGACACAGGCTAAATTCAACAGCTCTCCACAGACTGCCACACTAATCAAACCAATTAATTAAACAGACTTTGGTACAGTGCTCATGAAGGTCTCTGCCCAGGAAATGCAAGGTGACAAAATCAGGGACTGATCTGCCCTATGTTACTGAGGGATAAAGGGCAAAATCTTTGCTCAAGGGCATGCAAAAATCCTGGAACAGAGCTAGGAACTTCTTTCATTCTTTTTATTAGCAAAATGATCTTAAATGCTCATAGCAAAGTAAAATTAAATATGCAAAATAGATTTCAGTCCTCTTCCCACTTGTAACAAGATTGACACACAGAGAAAAATTCATTACCAATATTAACTGGAGCTACATTTGCTTGTGCCTGTGTCACATATGAAAATCCATAGCATGCATAAAGAGGTTTCAATTAGCATAGAATGGTCATGGAATACAATTAAAAATGTTACTGAATGACACCCCCCCGCCCTTTACAATTCTTCCTGACCTGATATTGAGCATTTTACAGTGGTTCCAAGGGGTTTTTGTGGCTCAGACCTCTGAAAAAAACTTTCCTACCTCAGAAATCCAGTTCCTCTGCAGTCACTCAGAATAGACCTAATGAAGTAGCTCACCTTTTGCATTATATACTCTGATGCATGGTGTGTATATTTTGCAAGGGAGAAGAAAATAGAGTTAGCCATTCTGCCAAAACAGGATAGTATTAAAGCAGTGAAGGCAATATATTTAAATTCAGCTAAAAGACTGTTCTGTAAGAAAGGATCTTCCACGCTGAGCCATTCCTGGAGCAGAATGTGTAGATCTGGAACAGGAGAAACTGACCCTCCAGTGCAAGCTGCAATCACCCTCTCCCTCCCAAAAAGGAGCAAGAATATACCCTGCACACATTTAATCTCAGAAATAAAGTGATGGGTTTTACCTGTTCTCGATGGCCACACTTGGCTGCCACTTGCAGTGACTGGAAAGGAGAGGAGTGATTTCGGAAGGACAGACAGCGGGACCGTGCTGACTCCATATGGACAACACCCTGCCCAGGGAGTACGGCAGGGAGGACACCAGGCCATGGGGGACACACCTCGGCAGCCTGGCCCCTTTCAAACCCTGGGCCAGCTGGGATATAAACAGTCTCTGGATGGTGGGAATATGGCTGGTTAAGTTTCTTCTTCTTGTCCAAATCCTGTAACATCCAGGGGAAGAAAGTGCCAAAACTGTGTGAAGGCCGAGCCTCGAACAACCTCCTCTTCTTCCAGCTACAGTGTTTCTTCCAGGGTCGGGATGAACAGCAACAGTCCTGGGGGTTGTTGTGGAGTGAGAGGAAGGAAGATCATTATTTACACAGGAATCTTCCTGGAAAGCTGTTGTATCTGAACAGCTCTGAGAAAGGAGAAAAGACAAAGTCCACTTTGAAGCTGGTGTTGGAGTTTCTCTGAAAACTGGGCTGTGATGTACAGAGTGCTGGGATGCAATCCCTCTGAGGTCTGTCACAGGACTGGAGTCCAATTTTATGTGGCAAGAAATTGGGAAAACTGAGGTGTCCAAGAAAGAGGCTGGAGGCTCGTGGCTTAAATCTGAAGAAAGTATTTTGGTAGTTTCTACAGGATAAAGTGCCAAAGGCTGAAAGCTGAACATCTTGGTGCAGCAGCTGTCAGCCCAGCGTGAGTGTACGTTCCTGTTAATGCAAGAAAAGGCTTCCAAGAGATTTTTAGATCTGCATTGGCTGTACCTGTCACCCACTGGAAGAATTTCAGAAGAAGATGGCAGAGGTTCTAAGTCACGGCTGCTTTTGGCAGGGGCCAGGAGCTTGCTGGCCATTGCAGACAACTTGCTCAGCAATGCTGGTTCTTTGGTACATTTTCTAAATTTCAAGCTGTTCAACAAACTGCACCTCTTGGCCCTCTGCCTTGGCATATGCACAAATCTCATGGTTGTTTCCTTTTCCACTGTTGGTGCTTTACATGCAAAGTACAAAGATTCCAGAAGTGGGTTTTCCTGTTTAGGGAATATTTCCAGGGGAATCTCAGAGATAGGTGAACTTTTCATTGTTTTGATTTTTCTTATGGTTTTTAGCTGATACAATGTGGGAACTTTTTTGCATGTCCTTCCAGGTTGTATTTTTAGTGGAAGTTTATTTGTAGTTCCTCTTCGTTTACTTGTAGTTCCAAAGGCACCAGGGATCCCATCATACCCTAAATTAAGGTTCAGGTTTTCCATTTCTGAATCCTGAGTCTTCAAAAACTGTGAACTAATAAAATCTGTGGTAATCTTTGGCCTTTTAACTTCTTGTAAAGTGCTACATAGTTTACTTTCACTGCCTCTTACAGCAACAATCTCCTCTGAAGGACCCCCAAAGTTCATACTTCTGGATGTCATCAACTCTGAAGAGCTGCATAAGAGTTCAGAACTGTGCAACACACTTGGTTGCAGTATGATTTTTGCTTTCTCCTGATGTTCTAACTTCTGTTCTTGTTGTGCCTTGTCCAACTGATGTGCTTCCACCTTTCCATACTTCTTTTGTACAAATATTTGATGTTCCTCTATTTGATCAGCTCTCTCTGAACATAAAGCTCCATCTTCCTTGCAAACTGCACCAGCTGGTATTTTGTCCTGGCTTTCTGTTACTTCCTTTACATTATCTTTGCTCCATGCATTCAGTTTGTAAGGCACACACGCTTCACTGCAAACCACACAGTCTGGGGATGGTTCTTTGCAACTGTCTGATAGTGTGCTCAGAGGTGGAGAAAACGTGGGCGTTGCATCATCCTGCACTTCTGGGGCAGCTTCTGTGGCAGATACTGCTCCAGCCTGACAACCATGCACAGTTTCTGAAAGTACACTGGTACCTGCTGAGTTTGGAAGCTTTGTATCATTCTGTCTTTCTTTTGAAAGATTATTTAATTTGGATCTTGGGATTTCTTCCAAAACCTTTCCATAATTCTCAATCCTGAGGGGGACTATTTTGCTACCAGACTCTTCAGAATCTTCCAACAAGTCCCATGAACAATCTTTGGGCAGCCTTCCTCTAGGAGCTTCCTCTTTTCCTATCATCTCTTGTACACAGGTATTCTTAAATTTTTCTTGACCAGGAGGACTTTCTGGTGAGCCCATGTCCATGTCTTTGGTTGGTGTGCAAAGTCCCACACCTTTCAGACTTTCTTTGCTGTGGGCACAAACTCTTGAGCTTTTGGCACCATTCAGAGAGCCAGCTGCTGATTCATTCCCTGAAGATGGAACCTCAATATTGCTGGATTTTTTCTTAACAGAAATTGTTACAGAAAGGATTTTTGTCATTGAAGTATCTTTGCTAATTTTTTTGTCTGTAGATGAAATATCTCTTTGTGTATTCTCAGGTGACAGACACAGCTTTACTTTCTCAGGCAGAGAGATGTGAGAGTTCAGAGCTGACACAGTTTCTGCATCCACCTGAGTCTTACTAGAAGTTTCTTGGATGTCAAACTTTTCAGAATGGGATGCACAAATACCCCTTTGAGCATCAGATTCTTTACCAGGTTTAAAAGTTAACTGTGGGCAAGAGTTACTTAGGATAGGAGTTAGACTTTCTCTGTTTTCTGTACCTGACAGCACATTTATATTTTCTGGCTTATCTGTATTCTTAAACTTCTCTTGACCAGGAGGACTTTTTGGTGAGCTCATGTCCATGTCTTTCCCAGCTGGCATGCAAACCCCCTCACCTTTCAGACTTTCTTTGCTGTGAGCACAAACTCTTGAGCTTTTGGCACCATACAGAGAGCCAGCTGCTGATTCATTCCCTGAAGATGGAACCTCAATATTGCTGATTTTTTTCTTAACAGAAATTGTTACAGAAAGGATTTTTGTCATTGAAGTATCTTTGCTAAAAACTTCAGCTGAAGATGAATGACAATTATCTCTTTGTGTACTCTTGGGTGACATACACAGCTTTTCTTTCTCAGGCAGAGAGATGTGAGAGTTCAGAGCTGACACAGTTTCTGAATCTGCCTGAGTCTCAACACAAGATTCTTGGATGTCAAACTTTCCAAAATGAGATGGACCAACGCCACTTTGAGCATCAGTTTCTTTACCAGGCTCAATAGTTAACTGTGGGTGAGAGTTGTTTAAGATAGGATTTATACTCAGACTTTCTCTGTTTTCTGTATCTGAAAGCATATTCCTATTTTCTGGCTTGTATGAAAGACCCCCATGAATTGATGAAATGGGCAGAAATTGAGCACTAATTGTATTTTCCTGGTTCTCCACCAACCACTTTATCTTTGGCAAAGATTGCTGCATTTTGTTTCCTGCAAACACCAGCTCTGCTTTCTCTTTTGCACTTTGGATAAAACGAGCCTGCTGTGAGCGCTGTGCTTTGTCATCAGAAAAGTTTTCTTCAAGAGCTCCTTTATTGTTTCTTTCACATCTGTTCTCATGTTCTTGTAGTCTGATTGTCTTCTCTTCAATCAGATCACTAATGGAGTCCATGGATCCTGAAGAATCGTCATTTTTCACACCAATTAAAGAGTCCAAACCCATTACATTCTCTTGTAGAGCTCCTTTAAACCTGGTTTCTCTTGCACATGTATGGTCTAACAGAGGCAGGTCACCACCTGTTCTTAGCAGAACCTCTTCACTGTGATTAGGATCAGTTTTGTCTCTTTCCACAGAACCGGTTGTGCTTTGTGAGCCAGTGTTTGGTTGGCTGGTTAAACCTTCTAAATGTTGCTCACTGCCCAGCACTGGGACATGAGACTCACTCAAACAGGGATGAAACTGATTCCCCAAGGGACAAAGGGTCTCTGCTGTTTGGCCAGCATGTTGTGTTGAAATGTTCACACTGTCCAGTGCTGGCTGTGGATCACAGATTGAAGGGCTACAATCAGAGGGATCAGCTGGGAGCATTTCTTCCTGCTCATGTTCTCTTTTCCATAACAGAGAGTTGTAAAATCCAAAATTATGAGCACAGGTGTTTTTGTTAGATCTGATTAATAGCTGTTCACGAGTCCTATTTCTCTGATTGCCTTCGGGAGCATTTGAGGAATCCGCAGCTCTTGTTTTATCAAACTCCTCTGTCTGGGAAGCACACGTGCCAATGTGTTCTTTTGCCTCATCTCTGTCACAAACAATTTCACTGCACATTGCTTTACAAAGATCAAATTGTTCCACAACCTCCATATTCTTATTTGAAACCTCATCTCTTGCCAAGGTAGCAGCAGACTTCTCTGCAGTATATGCTGAGCAAAACATGTTTTTTCCTGTGGGAATATAATTTGTACCATGCAGAGCTCTACCTCTGTTGCCCCAGTCATTTTCCCAAAGAAGAGATCCACGTGCCAAAGGGGTGTGTGCTTTTGGAAAGATCATTGCCTCTCTCCTGTTATATCCTGATGAAGACACTCCTTCCAAATTATCATTTTCTTCAATCTTATCAACTTCAACACCAAAAGACTGACTGTTCAGGAAAACTTCATCCACACATGTACTCCCTGATAAAATACAGGAAGTGCTGGCAGCTGTACACTGGTTTTTTATACTCTTGTTATTATAAAGCCATGTGTGACAATGTTCATTTTCTAAACCAATGACCATTCTCTCCCTATTTCCTGCAGAAGATTTTATATTCATTTGGGATACTCTGCTTGCTCTATTAGGGTTATCAAAAGTCATGGAATTTACAGAAGACTTGAATTTGTCTTTATGAAGCAAAACTTCAGCAACTTTTCCCGCTGGTGTTCCAGAAGCAGCAATTAATTCTTTTCTAGACCAATTATCCCAGGCCTTGTCCCTGCATGAAACTTCATTATTAGTACAAGGAAGACACTCCTTATAATGAGGTTCTCTTGATTTTTGTAAAACAGGAGGTAGAGTCACATTTAGTGTATAAAACAAATTTGTTTTGTTCCCAGGGTATAAGCTGTCATTACTATCAGCTTCTGCAGCTCCAGCTAAACCACCAGCCAACTCTTCTGATGTTTTATTGCTCCCAGATTCCTTTTCAAGCAGTTGTGCCTTGGGTGAGTCTTTTCCTAGCTTGGTACCAAGATGAAGACAGCTGTGGTTACTGAGAGGAGGGATTTTGTTGGCAGTGCTATAAAAGCAGATGTCTCTCTGCCCAGTTTCATGGGAAGCAATGTTACTTGTTTCTACCCACAAACTATTTTCTTTTGTATCATTCTTGCATGGGTCACTGACAGAGAATTGCCACTGGTCCTTTTTCAGCTTCTCACCTTCTGATGGGAATATTTTAAATTTTTCTTTTGAGAACTCCTCAGGAGATGAAGCAACAGAACCAAAAACTGGAGAATGACACTGCTCAGAGTTAGCAGCCTTTTGAGCTTCAGGCCAGCTACAAATTTTAACGTTATCTCCCACAGCAACTTTTCTCCAGACTTCAGCAGCTTCTTCAGATTCAGAGCTGTATGATTTTCCTATAGCAGCACTTAATTCCCTAGGATTAGGTTTTGCACTAGATAATCCTTTTTTCCTTACCACTGAGATCTTCTCTAGTGGTGCAGATGTGGAGGTTTGGTTTTTTAAAAACCCAGTTCCGTGATCATAAAGAGTGTGGTGTTTGATGTTTTGGGGAAGGTACTTCTGGGGGGTTTCACTGAGAATTCTGTGAACTGCAGAACTGCCTTCTGGTGGCATATTCCCAAAGTCCAGATACCATCTGCTTTTCAGAACCGGACATAAAACTTTAGATCTTTGTGTGGAGAGTGTTCTACAGCTTTCTGCTGAGAACAACTCATGAGGTGCCTTTTGTTCTGGTACAGGACCCTTAAAGAAGTCATAAGCATCACTTTCTTCATCCTGCTGACAGGTCTGGCAATTAGCAAATGACGTACTGAATTCCTTAAGCGGATTTTGTCTGGGTAACTTTTCTTCTCTAACCTCCAACACAGACACACCACTCCCCCCTGTTCTCAATGGCATGGCAGCATGGGGTTCTGACCCACTATAGTCACTTGTTTTTTGTGGATGATCTGCAGCTGCTCCAATGTCCATGACTTTTAAAGGCCCTAAAAAACCTAAGATGCTGGCTTCTGAAACCCCAGCTCTGGCCATGACTGGGCATTGATTGCCCTCAGGTGGAAGACCTGTACTCACTCTGTCATTCCTGTATCCTGCTTTACTAAATATCCTAGAACCATGAGCCTTCATACCTTGTACTTCTTCAGTGAGCTTTGGCAGAGTTTCAGCTGTCACCTGAACATTTGCTTGGTTTTCTTCTGCATAAGAAAAAAAATAAAGCAAATCAGAACTATATGCTAAATTTAGAAGACATTCAGCTTATTAAGTACCTTTTGTTCTTGTACACAACACTGTGCAGTGTTGGTTACCAAATGTTCTTAAAAGTGAGAATTGATGCTAACAACTTTAGTACAAGTCTTTAGAGGAAAAAACAAACTATTCCACCACAAAGCTAAGGTAACAAAACCAATCCTTTTCACTACAGACATTTCCATGAGCAGCAGGCATTCCAAGGCCTGTACATTTCAGATTCCTCTAATATCAAGCTAGGTGAATGCAGGTCCTGTAACTTAACACACAGGAAGCCATGGCCAACATTAAAATAATGCTTATTTGTAAGATCAAAATTGAACATAGGCTGGGACTTGATCTGCTCCAGCCTAGAAATAGGGCTGGCCATTGTGTGGCCATTTCCATCTCTTCTTCCTTGGAGTCATGTCTGTCAGTAACTCATCCACAGGAAAACAAGACATATCTCATCTGCCCAAGCAATTTAGATTATTAATAAACTTTTTTCTGTAAAATCACAAAGAAGGTGCTAACTAAAAATATTACAGTTACTGTAAAATATCTTCATACTCAAAACTTTACAGGGAACATATTTACTCAGACTTCTGCAGATCTTTTCCCTCTTTCCTAGCAAGCACCAAGACTAGATGGCATTTGCAAGCTAAACACAAGTTTAGGTAAAGATAGCAGGGAGGGAAAAGAAAATAATTACTAGATGCAGGCAAAGTGACCAAAGCACTTGGAGCTAGAAAATTATGGAGGAATTATAATGAAATTAATAATTATTTTAACTGTCCTCTTTCTTTGGATTCTGTGCTTTCAATTGTATTTTTTAGAACACTCAAAAATGAATGAGTAATACTTTTTTATATATATATATATATATATATATATATATATATGTATATATGTATACATATATATGCTATTACTGCTCTCATGCACTCCATCTTTGAAACAAAAGGAAATACAAAACATCTGCTATTAAAAAACCTCTTCTGCTTTGGAAACAAATAACTAAACCACATCTCCTACAGAAAAGGTCTTGAGGCAAGTACATACCCTGCCAGGAGAAAGTAAAGGACTAGGTTTTGATAGTGTTATAGTTACACAGGGTAATACTTTCTGAATGAGCCATCTCACAATCGCTCATCTGTTTTAAATCAACAATAAATAACTGGGAGAGAAGCAGGGGCTGGATAGGGATGTACAGCTGAAGTAACTACCTGTGCTCCTCAGAGATCCTGCAATTTCAGTGCAATGGGTTCTCAAGGACTTTGCCTCTTGCTCATTTAGGTGAGGGTCCTCCTGAAACAAGACAGAAATACGGTCAGACATGGTTAGTTATGGTTAGACAGAAAAATGGTTAGATCTTCTGAAGTGTCTCATGTCTCAGGGACTGCATCTGCTCAGCTGGGTTAGTTCAGAATAAGGAATTCACTAAGAAACTCCAGCCACATCAGCCTTGCCCAGAGGCAGCCTTGCATTGCAAGGGCTTCACACAAGCAGTAAGGATGTGTCCCCAAAACATTGCTGTATTTAACTGCAGTGAATAGTCAATCTTGTGATGTGGCAGCTAAAATATAAGTACATGGCTTAAAATGCAAATTGTTGAAAATTGGAATGAGAAGAGCAATCCAGTCTCCATGTCTAGTTCACACCCCCAAACCACTACCACTAGACTCCTGGGAAGATGTGTCTCTATTAGAACTTGCCTTCTACTATTCCTTGGACTCAAACCCACAAACCCTGGAAGAGGTGACCTAGATCTGCCAGCAAAACCACTAAACCATGATCCCACAACCAAACTACCTGCATTTAGAAATATGTGAAAATTCATCTTTAAAACTGAATGACTATAAAGAATTAAACAATTTTAATTTCGCAAAAGTGATAAATCCATTTTTTAAAAAAGTCAGATAAATCAAACAGATATCAAAATTTGGGGCTAAACACACAAAATTATGCAACACCCAATAATTAGGGTAAAATACTCAGCTGTGCACCTTTTTCTGTTACATATCTGCCTTACACCATTCCAGCAGTATTTAAGCGAGTGAAAACACTGGTATTTTAAAATAGTGCTGGTCTACTGAATTATTGTCTAATTTTTCACTAGACCCACAATAATCCAGGTACTGACACACACACACCCCTGGATGTGCCCAAGGCCAGGCTGGACAGGGCTCTGAGCAACCTGGTCAGGTGGAAGGTGTCCATGCCCATGGTAGGGGGCTGGAACAAAATGACCTTCAAGGTCCTCATCCCACCCAAACCACCTTATGACTCTATACTAGAGACACAAAAAAGAACCAGGAAACCCATTGCCAAACCCACTGCCTAGGGACTCTAAGCCTAAATTCAAATTATATCATGCAGGGATTAATTTCTGCATTCACTTACTTGTTCTGACCAACTTTTCCCCAGAGTTAAAGGACAACACTCAGCATGATGGTCCTCAGCACCTTGTGCCTCTTCATCTTCTTTCTGGTACCCATCACCAGAACAGTCTAGTTTCCTTAAGTGTCTTTTTCTGCTTTTTTCACCCTCTGCAAGGTCTCCAGCCTGTAGTAATTCTTCAGGGAAGGATTCTGCTGGCCCATGAGAAATCACCTGAAGCACATCACCCAGCTCCTGTGTCTTGTGGCAGAAGTTTCCCAGGGCAGAAGTCCATGGCCCATCCCTGTGTGCCAGCACGGGCACTGGCCCATCCGACTGTGCATCCAAGCCCAGGCTGGGCCCCGGCACTGCCATGAGGTCCCTGGAGAAGCTCTCTGGCAGCCCAGGGTACAACTCCTCTGTTACAGCAGACACAGAGAAATCAAGGAGAGACTCCAACCCAGATGAGAGCATCAGGGCTGTTGAAGATCAGTCGCCCTGAGCTTTTCAGTTTATCCTAAAAATAAAAGCAACGTTAAATCAATGTACATTGGATGAACCATAGAAAACCCTGAGCTGGAAGGGATCCTCAAGGATCACTGAAATCCAACTTCTGGACTAGATTAAAAGGAAAAGCTTAATTCCTCAAGATTCAAGTATATATGTTTAAGAAAGACACTTCCAAATATGTCTTTAAGAAAGGAGCTGAGGAAGATTTGAGTATCTAAGGAAATGCTTCATGAACAAATGAAGAGAATAAAGTGAAACAGATATTCCCAAGCCTCATTTTCACATTCAAACATCTCCCTGCAGATTTAACCGCATCTTCTGAATAACCTGAGAAGAGGTTATAAAGCAAATCACTGGGGCTTGTATCAGACATCCTCCTCCTTCACTAGAACTAAAGCATTGTTTGATTTCCTGGGATTTTCATGAGTTTCTAGTCTTTGGAAAAGTGCTCCAAGTTTTCTTCACATTCTGTGCCTCAAACGAACACTGTCTAAGCCACCGGCCTGTGCCTCTGAGCTTCTCTCATGTGAGCACTCCGTGCTGTCCCGCAGTGCAGAGGGTGCCTTGTGCCAGGACACAGCCCTGCTCCCGATCCTCCTCGGCCCGGACCCGAACACCGGCAGCAGCTCTGTGAGCACGGGCCAGGAGCTCCGGCTGAGCTGGCACCGCTGCTGTCGGCACCGGGACAGCCCCACCGTGCAAACGCCGCCGTCAATCGCTCCCGGAGGCTCAGGGACAGGACCGGGCTAAGCCAGGCCTTAGAGGAGCACCAGTGACTCAGTTTAACGAAACTCGGGCTCATCAGCCGAGCGCTGCTCCGTGCTCCTCTAGCAGGAGCAGCCGGTACAGACACCGGGGAAACTCGCAGCAGCCCCCCGGGAACACGGGAGCCCACTGGTCCCGGGAGAGCATCACCGTCCCGGCGGTGCCGCCCGAGCCCAGCCGCGCCGGGACCGGGGGCGACGCTTTGTTCCGAGCGCCGCAGCAGCGCCGACAGAGCCGGCCCCGAGCCCCGCTCCTTCTCCGCGGCAGCAGCTCCCGCACCGCCCGGACCGAGGGTCCGCAGCCGCCCTGCGGCGGCGCACCGGAGATCGCCGCTCTCGGTAATTACACAACCGCCGGTTGTGTCTCCCCCGTGCCCGTGCTGAGCAGGGCCCGCGCTGCCCGCTCGAGCCCGCTCAGCTCCCGGCGCGCGCAGGAGGCGGGGCCCGCCCGGCGCACCCCGCGCCCCGCCCGGTGCCGTTACCTGAGCGGCGGCGGCCGCCGGCCCCGCTGTGCGCGCCCGCCGCGCCGCGCCCCGCCCCGCGCGCATCACTTCCGCATCCGGGGCGGGCCCGGCGCGGAACCGGCAGCCCGGGTTGTGGCCCCGCCTCCGGCAGCGCCCGCCCCGCCCCCGAACGGCCCCGCCCATCACCGGCCCGGGTCTCTCCCGCCCCGCCCCCGCGGTGGGCGTGTCCCCCTGCTTCTTCCCACGGTGGCGGCGCGGGTGTCACGTGGCGCGCGGCCCCGGACGCGGAAGTGCCGCGCGGTACCCGCGGGACGGCACCGGCGGGGTAAGGCCGGGCCCCGCGTTGGGCGCTTCGCGAGCAGGGCCGGGACTGCGCCGCGCTCCGCTCTGCTGTGGCACGGCCGGCCCCGGCCGCGCTGCCCGGGTCTGTGAGCGGCACGGAGCGTTGTCTGGGCTCCCTTGGCGCCCGGACTGCACCGTTCTCCCCGGTGTCCTTTCCCCGTGCTCTTCCGTGAGCCGCCGCGCTGCTCGCTCTGTGCTACTGCCCCCCGTGCGGGTAAGGACCCTGGCGGGCCCGTGTGCCCCTCGCCGCTGCTCCGGGCAGGCACTCGGATGTCTCGATGCGATTCTCTTCCCCTGTAAGCGAATGGACTCCGCGGTTCCATGGCTGTTTAATGCCATAGGCACGGCAGCGCAATGGAACCGCTTGGCTTTGTTTGCTCTCCGCTCTTTGAGGCGCCCCCGGTGCGGCTCTGCCGGGTCCCAGCACCAAGCGGCGCTGCTTTCCAGACCCGCATCAGTTCCAAGTCATAGAGTTTGTTTTAACAAATGTTAGTTATACGGGGCTTTTTTCCCACCACGACTCTGTAGCTCGGTAATTGACTTTCTCTAAGCGCTTCTGCAAGCTCAACCCTTTAATCTATTAGAAAAACACACTTTTAGCACACTCTCTCCTTGTGCCTGTACCTGTTGCTGCCCCGCACTCTGCTGTGCTGGGCGCAGCTCTGCCGCGCTGCGGTGAAATCGGCCGGGACAGCGCGCTGGGTTCACGTGCAGAACATAAACAATGGTTCTGCATTTACACGAGATCTATGTTTGCTTTCCTTTCTATGTTAAATATGCAGGATGCCTTTAACCGTCTTGTCTCGAAGCGTCTGAGAGGAACTGGAGCTCAAGATGAGAACCAACAAGGTGTACAAGCTCGTCATCCATAAGAAGGGGTTTGGAGGCAGTGGTCAGTATCTCCTTGCTCATAACAGTGAGATCAATACTCAATTGAAAGCAATTGTTTTATTGTAAAACTGCAATTGTAAAAGAGTGAAGATGGAACTTTGATGTTATAAGCAGTATTGCCAGCCAGAGTCTGAAAAGCTCTTTGTAATAACAGGATACAGCAAAATAAATGAACGTTTATTGGAAGACACCAAGATTGTATCTAAAAATAAAATAGCTTTGCTTTTTCTTTCTCTTTTTTGTTGCCACACTTCTCTCTTAATCTGGTGTTTCAGTCCCCCTAAGGAGTGACACATATTCAGTGACTTATGACTGCACATAGATGTGTTTCTGAGCACTAATAACAGTGTGCCACTGATTGGATTGCTCACTGCTTCTGGACTTACAGCACATTGATAAATCTTGTTGAGATTCTGTAGCTGTCTACTTTCCTGCTGGTGTTTGTTGTATGAAAAGTACAGAAGATGATTCTGGTTGCCTAAATAAGACACAGTCTTTTGTGAACACTTCTTTTGTAAAAGTTCTGTTATTTGAGTTGTTTGTGTCTGCAGGAGTGGCTGGGTGGGGACCCTGTCATGTGGGGAATAGAAAACATTTTGCTGATGTGTTCATCTTGGTTTGGAATATTTATGTATGCTGAGCTGTTGTAAGCAAACATGCAGGTGTCTGTTTAGTATATAGCTGTTCACTGCCCTCATTCATTTATGTCTTGTAGATGATGAACTGGTGGTGAATCCTAAAGTATTTCTTCAAATCAAGCTGGGAGATGTTGTGGAAATTGCACATCCCAATGATGAATACAGGTGAGTTCTCTTTGCTGATATCAGTGAGGTTGGAGCACTGAAAGGATCTGTTCATGTGTGGTGCTTTCTAGAATGAGAGGCTCTTGGGGCTGATATAACTTTGCTTCAGGATGCTGCCATGATTTTTTTCTGCCTAAAGAGAAGTAAAGAGGTTAACTTTAGCAAGAGTGCATCCTGAAAATTTATTAAATTCTTTGTATTTGGTGTTAGTTTGCTGATCTTCCATAGGCCCAGTAGCAGAATCAACAATGTCTGTATCCTCTTCCTAGATTTACTGTTACTTAAGGATTATTCTCCTATCCTACAGTATATCCTAGGCAAAATTAAAATTTTGTGGCCTTTTTGTATGAACCTGTTCATCCTGCAGCCTCTGTCTGAAAAGCAGCAGTAACTCGTGTGAGGATCTGAGAAGTTCTTGTGTGACCTGGTTTCCCAATTGTAGTATCATCTTTACTTCAAGAGTACCTTATAATTATGGAGAGTGTAAGGAGCAAGACAGAGAGACAGGTGGAGAGGATGGTGTATGAAGCTTTCTAGAAAATATTAATGTTTCTCTTTATCTTATCCTGTGGTCCATGTTACTAAATCGTTTTGAGTGTGTGATTTACCAGAGACTGTTGGTATCTCAACTTGCCTACCTTTTTTCTCTTCTCCATGCTAGTCCCCTGCTTCTCCAAGTGAAGTCACTGAAGGAAGATCTGCAGAAAGGTAAAACTTGAGACTTATGCACAGTAATACCCTATGAAGGGTGACATGGCTGGGCTGTACCTGTAATTGACTAGTGTGTGTATTTAATTTCATATGAATATCAATGCTTTGTCTGTTTAGCAAGGGAAGGAATAGGATTTTAACAGAAAATGGGCAATTTTAACAGAAAATGGGCAATTTAGTTCTAAATCTGCTTTTGTTTGGGTAACATGAGTATGGTTTAAGCAAACCTGACTTTTTGGCCTGAAATTTGTGTTTCATGGCAGTCTGACTGTGCTGGTTTTGTAGCTGTAAATCACTTGGAACCTGTTGGTGACACTGACTCCCCTGCTGTCCTTTCTTGCTCTCTGGCAGAAACGATCAGTGTGGACCAGACAGTGGCACAGGTGTTCCGCCTGCGGCCCTACCAGGATGTCCATGTCAATGTTGTTGACCCCAAGGTCTGTGCTTTTGCCACTTGTTTCCATCCATTCCATCACTTGACTCAAGTTACAGCCCTGTGACTTTCCATCTACAGTAGTCTGGGGGAAGAAAGGCATTTATTTTTCGTTGAAAGATACTTAGTCTTCTTCTCTAAGAAAGTGAGCCTTAGGCTTTTGAATTATTTGTTGGTTGGTTATATGTTGCTTCTCTCCCTGCAATCTCTGCTCTCTTTTTGAACTCTATGATCCTGCTTCCACAGAGCTTGGTAGAAATGTAGACATTTCACATATTTTTAAATTTCAAAAATTCATGAGAACCAGGCACAATAAAGAAAAGCAGAAAGTAGCCTAGTCAAAAGAAGAGCCATGGCCTGGATTTACATTATTTGGTACCACAGAGCCTCTTACAGAGAGGCATTTCCTGTAAATGTTCCAACTGTTAAAAGAGCTGCAGAAAAGTCAGAACTTACATTCTGCACAAGACAAAAGTCTGCAGGAAATGAGGTTTCCTTGATGTCATGAACAATGGCAGTAATTTATTTCAGCTTCCAACCTGCACCGAGACTTATAGTACAGATTTAGTCCCTGGGCTTTTCTGATCACATTGTGCAAGGTTTTGCAGCTCACAGTAGTTGAGGTACATACACAACTTTGTTATTTATTTGTATGGGCTTCCCCTGTATCTTGCAGTTTTAGGGATATTGACTTGCTTTTGAATGGCCCTTCTTGTAACTTTTGGTTATTAAATGAACAGATTGGGCTGCCCTACTTAGAAACAACCAGTAAAATCTAAGCAGTGTTTTTCATCCATTTCCCAGGAGGTGACCTTGGACTTGGTGGAGCTGACATTTAAAGATCAGTATATTGGGCGTGGGGATATGTGGAGGCTGAAGAAGAGTTTGGTAAGGCCCCTGCTGCCCTTGGGCAGGGTGCAGGTGATGAACCTTTTCTTTTGCTTGCTGTGCATGAAAAGAAGTGCTTTGCAAAATGCAGAGAGCCAAAGACAAAGCCAGTGCCTGCAGCTCCTGAGGATCTTGTGCTTTGAGTGGCACATCAGAGTTGGAGAAATGGGTGTAAATGTTGCAGAAAAACAAATCCCATCATTTCCTACTCCCCTGGTATAATTTTGATTACTGCCTTGGGCGTTGAAAATGAGTATAGAGAGGTTTTTTTGCTTATGTTCTGAATTTTAATGATTGCTACATTTGGAAGGAAATGAATCCAAATGTTTTTCAAGCAGAAGTATGCTGAAGTGTCCCCTCTCTGAGCGTACCACTTAATAAGCAGCTATTAGAGTATCTTCTGCCTACATCTCTGAAGTGCAGTCTGTAGCTCCTCTAAGTGCAGTGAATTAGGCAGATGGTCCCAGTTAGAGCTGATCTGTGTTAAAAGTGATTTTCTGTGTCTATTACAGAGGTTCTGTAGGCTGAGCTATTAGTAGTAACTACATTGAATGGACTTTGTGACTTCTGTCATAAAAATCATGTTTGAGTGGGTTTTATGTACATTGTTCTTCTCACTCTGAGCCTGCTCTTCTTCCAACACCTGTAACTCTTCTTTCCTAGGTCAGCACATGTGCATATGTCACCCAAAAAGTTGAATTTGCAGGTATCAGGTCAGTGCCTCCTCTGAGGGCTTACTGTTACTTATTGCTTTAACTTCATGAGTTTTAAGTATCCAACTGGAGACTCTTCTCTGAAAAATCCCTCATGTTTCATTGTTCTCTTACTCATCTATAGATTTCTGTCTGCACCATGGGGTGTGGGAAGGCTTCTATCTGCTTTGGAGTAAAAGAAACTAATAGTAGGGCAACCAGCTACACTTGTGGCCTCTGATGGAGGCCAAATAGTTTTATTTTTATCTCTTTGAATATTTGCCCCCCTTCCCAAGCTGTATTAATA